TCGGAATTTTTGATAGACACTATATATATTTTTTTTTGACCAAAAGTGTTTTCTAGTCGAGATCAGCCTTTTGAACGAAAAAAAAATCGAAAAAAAAAACTTTTCCAAAAAAGTGGATGGCTCTCCATGGATTCACCCATTTATTATCTCTTCCAATAATATCAAACATGCCTTATATTTCAAGAAACATTTGACAGTATGCCTTATACCATTTCAATAAATTTTCTTTTTTTTTAATGTTTTTTTAATCTGATGATGATTTGAATAAACTTTCTTAAAAACATCATGTGGAACTTAAATTTGTGCCAAAATCATTTTCAATAAACACAAATGTAGTCATTAAGTTTTATAGCGGTATAGCAAATTGTTTTGATTTTAGTAGAATTAATTTTGCCGCAAATCCAAGGTCCCCATCATGTGTTTCTATTTCGCTGCTCACAAAGAAGACGAAGGGACGTGTTTTCGTGTGAAATTATGATATGATTTATCTTTGTATCTGTGTAGTCATTGTCAGTATGTATAAATTTAGGCGATACTCGGGATGATCTGACATCCCAATAGAGGAAACAGACTAAGATTCTCCTAGTGGAGTAACAAAGCACGTTCCTATTAAAAAGATATCACTTCATTTTTATAGACAAACTCTTGTTTCGTAGGAATGAGCAATAATTGGAGATTTTCTGTCAACTTTATCACACTTTTAATAACTAAGTTAAAATAATACTGAGTCAGAGAAAGCTAGATATCTAAACCCGTCTTCTAAATTCAGCCATATCACAAAAACATCACAATGAGACAAACTTTACTGTAAAAATTCAATTCTTTAGTTCTAATGGTGTTGTCAATAATTTATTATGGAAATAATTCATGAACTGAGAAAGGTTATATTTCTTTAGAAGAAGAGAAAAATACGTAGGTAAAAAAATTAAAAAAAAACAATAGTCATATTATTCGTTATGATAATGGTGGATGAACGAAACAAAATCAATTTAGGATCCACTTAAGGATACCTTTAGGCCACCAAACTGTTGATCGCATGCTACATGCAAGTGTTGTGTCGGTATCATTGATATCCAAATGCATGCATGTAGGTGGTGCATGATATACTGGACAAATTGTAGGCGAATCATTAGTGCAGTTGCACCCAACACTATTTGCGTCCGCCGGTACGTGCATATTGAGAGCACCAATACTCGCAAAATTTGTTTGACCGAACTCTGGAAAAATTCGAAGCATTTCATCAGAAATATACGTTTTGTTACAACTGTTAAATGTTAGATTTCTTATTGACCGAAGCCACGCAACGTTGCGAGCGACATCTTTTTCATAAGAAGACACATCACTGATGGGACCATGGCCGGGAAATATCGTAGGCTCTCGTCGGCTAAGCTGTAACTCACATACAGATGCTTGCATATTTCCAGCCCAAGCGCAAAGAGCATCATCACTAGCTGGTAGTATTTGATTATCGAAAAAATTGCTAATGAATAGGTGAGATCGGATAGAGATGGCGTCGCCCGTAAAAAGCCAGTAAAATTTGGATGCAACAGTGACTCCAAGAAGACCTGCATATGATGATTCACCTTTCACTATGACACTAAACGCATTGATTTGTGCGTATCGATCATTAAATGCAAGTTGTGTTCGTGGTGATGTCAGTACACGTAAGACCTTGGAATAATTCACGGCACATTGTGCAGCCGAAGAGAATCCATTAGTACAGCTAAAATTCATCCATTGAACAGCTTCTTTGGCAACTTGCTGAGTGATCACATAGATCGGCGTTGTAGGGTAAACTTGTTGAATGAGAGCAATGCCACCTAAGTGATCTGGATGTCCATGTGTAACAAAGACAAACTTTGGTGGTTTTGTAGTTGAGAGTACTTGCTCTTGGTATACCGAGATCAGTTTTGAAGTTGTACTATTTGTGACACCAGTGTCTACTAAGAATCCTTCACGGACTTTGCTCGAGGTTACAACATATGCGTTTGAGTTTTGATTTGGTGCTGTAGCATCACGTATTTGAGTTACAGTCACGGAGCCAATAGTAATTGCAGACGAACTTCTGACGCTATTCAATAGCGTCACAAACAATATGTAAAAAGGAATCATGACTTATTTGCTCGAGTAGTGTTCGCCACAACGAAAGCACCGCTTATTATAGTATTTTAAAAAAATGAATCGTCATTCTATAGTAGTTGAAACGAATTGCAGTGCGCAGTCGACGACTTTCTTCACATGTTGGCGTTGTGTGAAGGTGTTCTTATGTTTACATTAATATCGGCAATTGAATGGTTTTAATTCTGCATTCGGAACGCAAAATATAAGAAAGCTCGATGTCATGATTTCTCGTTTTCATTATTGATTTTGGAGGCGAGTTTTATGATTTTGTTTTTATCGAAAGAGTGTAGCAACATGTCGATAGATTCACATCACTACACCATTTTATGTTACTGTTTCATGCATTAAAATTTTATTTCAAAAATTATGAATGGGTTTTCTTCAATTAAAATATCATATAAACTCACAGGGCTCTCTTTTTTATTAATGATTTTTAATGAATCATGGATACAATAGAATTAATAATGTGTATGAGACCGTATATAAGTTTCTGATAACAATGAGTATTTGTACACTGCCGCATTAGTCACGTTTCAGAAGATCAGTACCTTCTATTTGAAAGTGTCGATGTGGGTGTCCAAGTGAATGAAGATATGAGCAACACTCACACTCACACCCATTTTTATTTATGCTATTATGCTTCTTTCAGTCTAGAAAAAAAGCGATTACAACACAGCTTGCAGTATGTGATATAGTTCGAAATACATTTTCACAATCATGATGATAAAACGAATATATTTGTTATCTATTGTGTATATATATAGCACATGTAAAAACTATCACTGTCTTCGTATCAAAGTCCAGCATCGTTTGTCAGTATGCATTGGTTTTTCTTTCTTATCTTTACTTTAAGCTTTTGTCAAATAACACCTAAAGAATCTGTGTCTTCGGCACTTTGGAATAAATTCAAGGATGTTCACAAAAAGCAATATGCAACCGTCGAAGAAGAAGCCTATCGGTAAGAAAGTAAATTTGATTAAAAACTGCTGATCTTAGTAAGCCATCAAATCTTTTAGTCAAACTATCTTCGAAGACAGAGTTGTTATGATCAATCGACATAATTTTGAAGCTAAATCGGGCATGCATACTTATACACTTAAAATTAATCAATTTGCCGATATGGTACGAATTTAAATGATCTTTAAATAGCTTTCCTTTCTTAACATTTTGATTTTGGTGTTTCTTTTTGCATAGACATACGGCGAGGTTGTTCGCACTATTTCGAATAACTATCAAAAGAGTTTATCAAAAAAGACGTCAATAAAAATTGATCATCACCTATTATTCAAACCGTCGAATACATCGTTACCAACCGCTGTTGGTCAGTTTCAGTGGAGAGTTGATTTCTTTTTTGATAAAATATTCCTCTAGATTGGCGCAAGAGAGGTGCTGTAAGTAATATAATTGAAAATCAAGGACAATGCGCTTCCGATTGGGCTTATGCAGCAACTGGCGCTTTAGAAGGACAGCATTTTCTGAAGACGGGCAATTTGGTACGACTTTCAGCTCAAAATCTACTGGACTGTTCAGATAAATTTGGCAATGAAGGTTGTAATGGTGGACTCGTCAATGCCGCATTTCAGTATATTAAAGTTAATAATGGTGTGGACACTGAAGCAAGCTATCCATACGAAGCTGTGGACGGCAAATGCCGTTTTAATCAATCGACTGTTGGTGCAACAGATACAGTAATAACATCTACATCAGTTCATGTTAGTTTTCATACATTCATTGTTTGATAGGGTTTTGCCCAAATTCAAAGTGGAAATGAGACAGCCTTACAAATTGCAATCGCTACTGTGGGTCCCATTGCAGTGGGAATTGATGATTTACACGAGTCGTTTATCTACTATGAATCAGGTGTTTATGATGAACCAGCATGTTCAAGTAAAGATTGGTATCACCCACTAGTTGTTGTTGGATATGATACATTTAATAACGGAACAGTAAAACAAGATTTTTATTTTGTGAAAAACTCTTGGGGTGAATCATGGGGTATGAAGGGTTATATTTGGATGAGTCGTAACAAGAACAATCAATGCGGTATTGCAAGTAGAGCCAGTTATCCACTCGTTTAAAATCGAACATCGTATTTTACGCTTATAACAAGAACATTGTATACAACTAAATTAAAGGATATTCTAAATAAATTGTGGTTAAGGTTTTCACTGGCTTCCCCTTATTAATGAATCAGAATTCTTTCAAAAGTTTAATCCATTATATACTCTTTATAAATCTTCATTGAACTACCGAATAAACATAATTGTTTTTGAAACACTTACACTACTCTGATAAAAAAGGTATCATACTGAACCTTTTAAGGTTCTAGATTTGGGTACCATTTTCAGAACCATTTAAGATTCATGCAAAATCTGGTTCTAGCTGGAACCTTTACCTTTTTCTTCCAAAAAGGGTTCTAGAGTGGTAACATGTAGTTCGCCACACTCAATTAGTCTAGTACTCGCCACTAATGCTATATCCGGCCGTTAATTTTACATGTAACCCTTTATTTCTACTCTTAACCCTTAATTCTAACCTTGACCCTCATTTCTATGTTAAGTCACTAAATCGTATATTTTATATTTACCTGAATTTGCTGTGAGTAGAAAACGAGCCAGCTCTTTCTCCTTTATTCGCACAAAAGCGGAAGCACCGTTACTTGCTGTTGAGACGATCCTAAACAGAAAACGAGAGGAGTGACTGATATTGTAACATTGTACTTACCATGAGATCAATTATTCACATATACCCAAAAGTGGATGCACCTAATGTGGATACTGTAGCGTGTTTGTGCTAAAAAGTCGTTACCGGGTGTAAGGATATTATGACATCACTCGAAGAAACTAGAACTAATTCAGCGAAAATTGAATATTTTCATCTAATTGGTCAAAACACTCTTTCAAAAGACTTTCTTAGATATTTTCCTAATTATAATTAAATTTTTCTTCAGTCAAAGAATAAAAACAATTGCAACTTATACTAACTTTTCAAGAATGAAGGAATACTATTGCAGCAAAGAGAACTTTTCTTCATTAACACAATAATATCAAATTAAAAGAAATATAGAATCGTATTTCGTTTAATTAGATGTACGTATACTAAGAATATGTTGCGATTGACGGGAGATAACTACAATAAATTTTCAGTCCTACAGCACCATATTTAACAAAAATATTCACCAAAAAAGTGTCAAAAAATAGCTCAATACTATCTTCTAGTTTTCTCTGTGGGTCTTCATTCTAGTCATTTGATTTGTTTTTGCTTGAAAGAGCATGTCATGGTCCATGCCCTCTCGTGGCCCTTTTTTTAAAATTGCTACTAATTAAGAGAAGAAAAGGAATGACAAGTTGAGAGACTCAAAAACAATTCTAAAAAACATGGCGATGCTTCTATAGGAACGTTCTCATTTATCATACTAAAAAGTCTTATTTTAACAAGAGACTCACGTCCTACGCACAAGTTTTCAAAAAAGAAAGAAAAAATATTTGATTCTACCTTCTACTCTGATAGAGTTCTACTGGAAATACTTGAAAATAATTTTTGATATTTTGTAGAATAGGCAGTGAGAAAAATCTTCTAAAATTTTCTCGTTGATGGAAGAACAGATGAACGGCTATTTTTCTATGAATTTTTCTCAATTTCGACCATTTTTGGCAAAGTATTTTTTTTTTGAACGGAGGCAGAGGGAGAAGGCTTAAATGATCAAAGTAAAAAATTCTTAGACAATCCGTTTTATCAACATAATAAAGAAAATATTGTACGAATGACATATGATCAAAGATTTTATAAATAATACTAACAAGTGAATTGAACTATTTTGTAATCTCCATGATGCTCCTTCGAAAAACAAACCATTAACCTAGACTTTATCAAAAACAAAAGCAATATGACCTTGGCCATAACATGTTACATGCATCAAATCATCTGATAAACAATGATTGTGAATTATTCTTTTGTTTTATTTAACTTCAGTTATTGAAAACTAGCAAACATGATTAGTGATCTATTTATTCGAAAAAAGAACATTCTATTATAAATGATATTTTATTTTTTTTGCTTACTGATAAAAGAAATTTGAAATGCTAAAATAATATTTAGCAAGATTAAACCAAAAAGGGTGTAGGTGATTGGGTGCGTGCATGCTGATCTTTTATAAATTCAGACTCACACCCCAAAAAGTTGAAGTCCCCCAGGACTCTCCAGGAAAACATATGATTCCATGTATGGTTTTTTTTTCAAAAGGAATATTATCGACTTCAGCATTACGAATATCGAAAAGGGTGTGGGTGTGGGTGTGAGCATCTGAAGTGCGGATTTGAACAAAAACTTCAAACACGCCCACACTGAAGAGTAGAACGAACAAGAGCTACAAAATATACACACACATCAGCATGAAGACATATTGTAAAAACAATAGAATTTTATCAAGCAAAAATTTCTAAAGCTTTTACAGTCGCTGTTTTTTTGCTAATAAGAAAACTTCGAGTTTTCTGTATTTTACCTTCCGAACTTTTTATTTTCGCTATTGTTTATTTTCGCTCTTTTTCTTTCGCTGTAATAATTTTCGCGCTTTGTTTTTCGCTGAAAATGCATTTCGCTCTTATAATTTTCGCTCAATCGACATCATATCCATTTGTGTGCAAAAAGACAGTATTGAAGACAACTTTTAAATATGATCTCGATGAAAAGTATTGGGAAAGTTTTTAAAGGAAAATAAAATAAAAGAAATCTTCATGAACCTATGAGCGATTCCGAGTCCAAAAAAAGTACATCTGCGGATTTCGATACGATTCTAACAACACAGAAGGAGATTCCGATACAGTTTTAAAAACATGAAAAAAAGATTTCTATGCGATTCCGATCCGGTTTCGAGTCTAAAATAACCCATTACTAGTTCTTACACTTATAGCCATTTCAGTTTATTTGTATTTATTCACCATTAAGTTTTAATATAAGATAAATACGAATAAAGTAACAGTTTTTGAGCGAAAGTTGAAATCGTATAATGAAGTAACGTCATGAAAAATACTAAAGAATAGCTACCGGATTTCTATATCATTTCTAGTTTCGATATGCTCGAAATCCGTTTTCAGCAAACAAAACAAAAATATATAGATTAAAACGCAAGACTATGATTGAATACATCAACTGATTGAGAAGAAGAATTGAAAGTATATATGTATAGTTCAAAGAATTTTCGAGAAACTGAATTCTAAAAATTAAACGAAGTAGGTGATTGGAGTGGTTATTTCGTTTCTGAAAACAAAGTTAACGCTTTCAGCGTCTTCGTATATGCAGATTGCTGCCAATGATAATTGATCATTTTGTCAAGATAACTTGTTGAGGCACTTAAGCTTTATTTCTTTTATCGAAATGGTTCAATGTCCAAAGAATTAAATTGTACTCCAAGTATTGCAGAGTTTTTCAAAATAATGTATAGTATCTGATAGTAGCTTAAATATATGAAAACACTTTACCGTGCCAAGAAGTACTTTAAAGTACGATAAAGTACCGTAAAGTACAAAAAGTACCAAAGTACGATGTTTCCCCTTCGTGAGTAATCCTATGGGCTTTTGTTTTTGTTTTGTAATTGTCTAAGTGACAATGCATGCTGATTAAGAATAAAGTTGATCATTGAAAAGCTTTGACAACACATAATTTAAGAAACATTATGAAAATTCGTCTTAAAACACTAAAATATCGTTCTATCTACAAAATGAACTTATTCAACACCTTTAAGATCTTGGTCAAATCAAAGGTTTTGATAATAATCTAATAAGATACCTATTATTTCGATAACTGATATAAAAGTACTAACGACGCAAAACTCTTTTATTTTAGATTCAGTTGCAATCCTTTAATGTAGCTTTTAGTAGTTCTCAAACCTCAATACGGTAACTATTTATATATTTTATGAGATTTAGATAATTTACAACTACTATTCATGATTTATGGAGGTTCCAAATTTCTGAGTGCATACATTTAAACACTCTATTCGCTTCTCATTTCACAAAATGCATGTTTATCTTTCAAGGACTTTTTTCAGAAATTATCTCGAATTTGTTATCGAAAGATCAATCACATTTAGTCAAACAATATTCAAACATTTCATTATGCCTTAGCTAACTTTCATTATCAAACGCATCATTTTACGATAAGTTCTTTGATTCGATCAACACTATATAAACCACTGGTGAGTGTGGTAGATTTTGATGGTTGTGACAACAAAAATGCGTTTTTCTTCTTTTTATAAATCAATGCCACAGTTTAGATTGAAATCTTTCCAAAAAACGTGACAAAATAACATATTTTTAACATAAGAAGTATTAAATGCGAATATTTTTCTTCGGTTACATATTATATTAGAAATAGATGAGAAATATAGTTCACTCAAAAAAAATACAGATCATTTGAAGTAATTTCAAATGGTTGTGTAATACTCGATTCTATAAATATGGCATTTTTTATTCTCTTTTTTTTTCAGAACACTTGAATAAAGTTTTTACATAACATTGCATGCTCTTTCTTTTTCTTCTTCATTAGTTTGTGTCCTTAATAAGTCTTCTCGGCGTTTGTTTGATAGTAAAAAGAAGTTTTATTTGCCATTGTACGATTATATGGCTGACAAATTTATTCGTCAATTGACACATAACACTGAGACTTTCGAACGAAATTGGTCTTCAACGTTCGATCGTTTAAACGATTTCTTCATCGATTGTGAAAACGAAAATGTTGACGTTCAAGATTATAGAATTAAAGCATTAGATGCTCTGGTTGATTATATACTCGCTGATTCGCCAACTGAAAAAAAAGAAACGCATGATGCCAAATCGATTTTTGTTAGACGAGTTGTGTTGCTATGCGAGCCAGACCCACAACCGTCGTTGGTTGATCTCGTACGCATCTTACGACGTATTCTCGATTCACCAAATGTTTTCAATGGATGGTATCTTACTTTTATAGAATCCATTTACCATCAATTTAATCTTGGTACATATTTATCAGAAAAACCTTCAACAGATTTGATTGCATCGATTCTTAAAAGTTTTGAAAAGCAATCATTTTTAAAGGAAACATCAGATACAGAATGCGAAAGTAGATGGAGAGATTTTCTGGTGACCTATATGTTTTCATCATTGGGAAGTATAAGTAACAAGTTGACTGGCGAAGAAACAATGCTCGCCATGCGACCTGCTTTTCAACAACTGTTTCAGTAAGAAACTAAGAAGAAAAGTTAATTATTTTGAGTTTTCTTTTTCGGAAAGTCTTTGAAGCGATATTCATTTTTACATCAGACACTGAATCGAGCTGATTTTCTCGTGTTCAGTGTTTGAGAAACATCCATATGAGATTTTAATATTTTATTTGTATTGTTAATAGACGTGCTATTCGAATGTGTTCCAAATCTAATATTTGGTTAGAAATTGGCGAATCATTGCAAAAATCATTACCAAGTCTTTTCAATTGTTTTGATAATCCAGCTGATGTATTAGTAATTATTGAATGCAGTGATGTGTTATTATCACAGGACTTTATACGATCCCTTTCCAGTTCATACAAGGAGAATGTTAATCAAGTCAAAACAAATTTTTCCCATATTTTAAAAATTATCGAACGACTTGTCTTAGCCAATCGTATTGGCGATGCTAGAAATATTATTGATGATACAATTGATGTACATTTTAAGACTGCAGTTGATATTAGTACATTACTTCAAATGTTTATTCGTTTATGTCCACAACTAAATGTTGATTATCGAAATGAATTCTGTGACCAAATCATTTTTCCTCTATCAATAAATTTGGCAAGTGAAAAATGTAATAAAAAATTGGCACCACTTTTATTCGATTTTGCTCTTGTCATACTTGATTTAAATGTGATCAAAGCACCAAAATGTGCATTGGAACTACTCGAAAAAAAAGAATATTATCCATGGAAAGAGTTAGCTCCAAAATTTGCCCATCTCATTCGATCATGTGCTGCCTATGACATTATTGATAGTGAGGATCATTTTGCTGATATTAATTATCTTGATAGCATTATCAGATTGGCTGCTGAACGATCTGAAGTTAATCAAACTATCGTTCAAGCTACTCATGATGAAGCATTACGAGCTATTCTTCGTTGGCTAGGACCTGCTACAAGTATCAATAAGATGATATGGTGTTCGCATGTCTACAGAATGGGACAATATTTGCTAGATTTGATTGATCAAAGACAAATAACTATTGAAATATGTGCTCAACTGATTGAAGCACTTAACAAAAGAATATCCAAAAGCGAAGAAGATGAAACGAGTGATGGGCTTGAAAGATTTTTTACTGTGAGTATATCTACATATATACAAAGTTCAATATATATGTCGGTACTATATTTAGAACGTAACATCTAAATTAGCCACTTACCTACAGCAACTCAAGTCACTTCCTGAAAACATTCATCGTGAAATAGTTTCCTTTATTTTAGCTGCTCTAGTTTTACCATTGAAACGTGAAAATGGAGAAATATCATTTGAAAAGGAAATGGCTAATACTATCTGGCTTGTAATCGGCGAATTATTAACAAGTGAAAAGGAGGTTCGCATTTATGAACCATGTATCAAACGAATACATTCACTTGCATGCGACGATCGAGAAGAAGATTTCTTTGAATGGTGGTCCAATTTTTGGCAATTCATGGGTTTAAAAATACCTGATATGGCTAGTGAGTATGCTGAAGAATTTCTAAGTGATGTTATTAATCGCAAGCGCTTTGATCTCTTTGCAATTCTTCCTGTAAGTAAAACTGGATATTTTCTGTAAATCATTTCACTAAACTAATCTAAAAATATAATAGGATGTCTACTTGAAACGACCAGAACCCTTTCATACTCGACTCAATGAATTGATCGATGGCATTTTCAGTAGTAACCAAGCGTATTCAATTTCTATGTCACAACTTTTTTCGATGATTGGCAAAGAGCATCCAGAGTTAATAACAGTAAATCAAGTCGACCGAATATTTGCTTCAATGAAAATTAGTTCGAAAAAATCGAATGATTTTATTCTACTCTTTGAAGCATTAGGCTTCGTTGCTAATACACAACCTAGTCTCTTCCATAAACATCGTGCTCAACTGTTACACCATGTTTCTGAAAAACAAAACATATCGGCTTTTCAGTGTCTTCAGCAATATTTAGTAGCATCGACTATTGTCGACGAAGGAAAATCAGCCAATGAACATCTTACAATTTTAATCAATCTTCTTAAAGGAAATCCTAAAATGAAGAGTGATACTCGAACACAAATCTTTCATGTTTGTCAATTAATCGGCGTTATGAATAAACAAGCATTGAAATCTAAACGAACAGATTTGATGGCATTTAAGTCGTACAGTGAATGTCGATTGTTGCTCGATTTTATTGATGGAGAAAAACTGACTGAAGAAAATCAAGAAGCAATCAATCGAACGCGACAAGAAATTGCTCAAATGGAAAAACTGGTCATTAAAACAGGAAAAGATGTTCAAAACATTACAAAAGTTGTCAAACGACAAGAATTGAGCGTAAGTTTTGTGTTTCATCTAGAGGAATTTCGAACTAACACCAGTATAATTCTTCTTATTATCATAATTGATAGGTTTCAAATCTCAATACACGTGTTAATACAGTTGACACGCGCTTGAATGATGTTAATGAGCAATTAAAAGAACATACAAGCGAAATTGAACGTATCGATGCAAAAACATTAAGTTATGTTCCTAGTGAATGGGGTAGTCAAGTAAGCAAATTACTTAATCATCGAGCAGATAATGATTGGCGTTTACTTGGCAAACGTTTTGGTTATTCAAAAAGTGAATTGAGACATTGGTCGATGCATGCTGATCCATGTATGTCACTACTCAATGAATGGTTTATGACAAATAAAGCTGATGAAGCTACTTATGGACTTGTAAAAATGCTCGATGACATTGGACGAAAAGATGTTTCAAAAATTATTAGACAGGCAGCCACTGCTGCTGATAAATTGATTCCAGACGACATGCCATTCGAAATCAAACGTCTTCCACCTGTCTTTCTCTCATATCAATGGGGAACTCAAAAAGCTGTAACAACACTTAAGCAAAACCTTGAAGAAGCTGGTTATGCTTGTTGGATGGATATTGGACAAATGGGTGGTGGAGATAAATTATTTGCTAAAATTGATGCTGGTATTCGTGGTGCTAAAGTGATAGTATGTTGTATGAACTCAGCTTATGTTGAATCGGACAATTGTTCTCGTGAAGTTCATTTAGCTATAAGTACTGGTAAACCGTTGATTCCTCTACAAATGGAAAAACTAAAATGGCCACCAGAAGGTGCTCTTGGTCCGATTATGAGTGAATATTTGTATATTCGATTTTATGATCGTAAATCAAACTCTGATAACTATTGGCCTGCAGATAAATTTCCTGAATTATTAGGTCAAATTCGTTATCATGTAGCACCTAATCTTGATATGATTAGTTCACGATATCAAAATTGGTTTTTACCTCGTATTACTAATTTGATATTTCTTCAACCAACAACGACCGAAGGTAAAAACAAGCAAATTTCTTTGAAAGACAATACTCCACTCGATGTTGTTCATCCACAAATCATGATTTCTTATCAATGGGATCGCCAAACTGATATCATTGCATTGTACAAACGACTCACAGAATTAGGTTATCGTTGTTGGCTTGATATATTTCAAATGGGCGGCGGCGATTCATTGTTCGAAAAGATTGATGCTGGAATTCGTAATGCTAAATGTATAATTGCTTGTGTTACACCTAACTATACAAAATCGACGAATTGTCGAAGAGAAATGTCCTTGTCTGATGCACTCGGTAAATCTATCATTCCATTATTACTCGAGGCAACAACTACATGGCCACCGGCAGGTCCTATGGCACTTATTTTTACTGATAAGTCCTATATTGATTTTTGTCCTACAAATGGTAATTATCAAAAGAATGATATATGGTCATCTCTAGAATTCAACAAAGTGCTCGATCAATTGAAAAGCATAGTACCTGAAGTTCAAACAAAAATGGCTACGAATTCAATCGATATCAAACCACAATCTATGACAGTATCAACCCCTATAGAAAATGGCAACCAGCCAACACAAACTGGAAGTGCAGCAACTATTTCACCAAGTCAATTATGCTGTATCTTATAAATATTATGCACAATTTTCATTTATTTTATGTAAGGTGTGGGGATGGGTATTTTTATTTAATTTAACATCAGAAAATACAAAGAACAATTTTGTTGCCGTTGCTTAATTTTGATCACTGATTAGCTATTTTACGAAGCGTCTCGCACGATGATTTGAGTGACTTCAATTCTTTTGTAAGTTGATCTAGAGGGTGTGGTTGTGATTCTTCTTTGAGCTACCACCCACAAGCACACACACACCAACACTCACACATATATCTTCACACAAACACTCCACACCCTTTTCTATCACTTACTTCATCCGATTAGAAAAACAAGATATACCAAAAAGGTACAGCGTGAAAAGCTCTACCATCTTCATGACTGCCTATTTTATAGTCGCACTTTTTGTTTTGAAAATGGACAAAATTTTGAGCGGTCAAATTTCGATCCTGGCAGGGATACACCAGTACCAGTATTACTGGTTGTATGGGTACCAGTATTTCTGGTTTGCCAGGATCATCGGTGTCAACACACACCAGTATTAGAGGTGTTAGTTAGTATAACTCTCAATACTGGTGCGCGTTGACACCGATGATCCTGGCAAACTAGAAATACTGGTACCCATACAATCAGTAATACTGGTACTGGTGCATCCCTAGTACATGTGCGTTTTGCTTTAAACTTTATTTTTCAATATTCATATAGTGTATATTCACAGAAAAAGAAGTTAATGTTTTTCTTTGTTCTTCTCTAATTCTTTAGTCATAATTTCGGACATTTTGAATTTTTGTGCTTTACCCGTTGGAGTCATAATGAATTTATCAACAATTCGCATATATGTTGGTATTTTAAAGAAAGCTAATCTGTCTTTAAGAAAATTTCGAATATCTTCTATGTCACATTTGGGTGCATCAGGTTTTAATCGAATCCAAGCACACACATCTTCATCGTATCGTTCACTTGGAATAGAAAAGACTTGTGCATCTAGTACATGTGGATATTCAGCAATTATATTTTCAATTTCAACCGGATAGATATTGACGCCACCACGAATAATAATTTCCTTTTGACGCCCAACGAAATAAACATAACCATTTTCGTCCATTCTACCCACATCACCTGTTTTAAGCCATCGTGAATGTGTGATTGTCTCTTGTGTTTTCTCAACATCACCATAATATCCACACATAACTGAATGACCTCTGGTCCAGATTTCACCTGACGCACCAATGGGTACTGTTTTGCCTTGTTGATCCACAACTTTTAGTTCCAAACCTGGCATCGGTTGTCCGATCGATGAAAGACGTCTCTTATCATCGTTGTCACCAGCCCACATACTACACGTGATGATACCGGCGGTTTCAGTCATTCCATAAGCTTGTGCCATACGTGTGATTGGAAACTGGTTTTCTAATTGACGTAAAAAGTCAATGTGCATTGAGCTTGCTCCTGATAAACCGAAAACTAATGAACTGAGATCGTATTTTTTCGGATCTGGATGGGTTAATATATCACGAAAGATAATCGGTGCTCCGATCAGTGCAGTACATTTCTCTTCTTGTATGGCGCGCATAGTAGTAATTGTATCGGGCAGAACAGCTGGAAAAGTCAGATGACATGGAGCAACTGCTGCATTAAGCACGCCGACCATTTCCGAAAATATGTGGAACATTGGAATCGGAATACAAAGACGCGGGTGTGGGTGTCATCTTTCTCACTTAAGAGAAAAAACCTTACAGCCACACCCCACACACCCACACCCACACCCACACCCACACCCACCCCACACACCCACACCCAAATTTAATCTGAATGTCTAGCATTTTATAGAATTTTTAAGATTTCCTCCCGTTTTCATANCCCCCTCGCTCTTACTGCTTCACGCCGTCCCTGCGTGCAACTCATCCTCAATTAGTGAATATAAGCTTCAAAGTTAGCATGGATTTCCGTCTTTCTGTTGAGGATGCTACTCCTTTGAAGATAGGAAAATCCTTCTAGACGGCATGGAGATGAATAAAGTTGTTATTCACCCCATCGCATATGTCAACATCCGATAGGAATTACATGGCAAGCGTTTTTAAAGTTATAATGGCTCGATTTTCTTAAAGACAACAGCAATGCATTTTGAATCTAGACAATATTATTAACCATATACCCATGATAGGAATTTCTCTAAATACATAGTGACTACAAGTTAGATATGAATGGTACATTTTCTTATGTCTCTTTGTCGAAGCAGCATTTTTAGAATGCCTTAGCAAACAGTGTCTAAAGTTTAGCACACAAGGGATGTTTGGCAGACTAGTAAAACCACTCGGATATCCTTGACAGTTTCCTGATTCATAGTTTCTCCGATAATAAAATATCCACTAACTTCTTCTTTAGGACGAATCTCTTCTGTATGGTCTCGCTTGTCGGATCGCGATGCTATGTTTAGACCAAACGAAAAAACTCATCGACACACTAGAAAACGTTTGGCACATCGGCATTGTCAATATAAATAAAACGTTTCGCCACGTGATTTAATCGTTTATACTATTGATGCTAAGTATTTTGTTTAATGAATAGTAATTCTATTGTGATAGTCGATGGCATACCTTATGTTGCTTATCAATTGTGACTTCATGTAATAATTCATTTCAAATATTATTAAAACCCGAGAATATATCTCAACTTTTCAAGTAATAACAAATTTATCTCTCCCGAGGATGTGGGTCTCTGAATCGGCGTTTTTCATCTTTGATTAACATACCTACACCCCCACACCCACACCCTCAAGGTAGTGTCTGTAAGTGCGTGTAAGGGGGTGTAAAGGGGTTGGGTCTATAATGAAGGGGGGAGCCGCAAAAATCTCGCTTTTAAACTTACACTCACCATTTTCTTCGAAAACATGTGAGTTCCACAAAACTGGCATTGAGAGGTCCTTTTGGATCGTTTTATTGAATAAATTCACTATTGTCACTTGAATTAAACACTGGCAATGCTCTGAAATATAAAGATAAATAACTTCGGAAATTTTCCACGTATATAGGATCATGTTTATGAATTTGAAATCTACAATTTGAATTCCTAAAATGTATAGCCTCATAGAAATTAGTGATTCAACCTATCACAACGTTAGCTGTTCTGTTTCAGTTCATATTCACAAACAAATTCTGCCATAAACATCACTGAAGATTAGGAATACTCTTAAAATAGAAAACAAAATACGTCAGATAATTACTCCAACAAAGGCGTGCTTTATCCGGGGTGGAAAGTTTTTTCACAAAAGATACGTCGCTGTGATACATTACTTTTTCAGAAACGATAAGATAATCAAGATATGGATACGGCAGATACTAACCATCATCACAGAACTTTTTAGCAACGTTACTCATCATGAATATCATTAAGATTATTTCTGAAGCTCTATTGTAAAGTATACACAATTTCAAATAGTTAGAATGTCACAACAAAAAATCCATTCATAATTCTTAATGTCGCTTACAATTTATTTTGATCAGTACGTACATGAATAACTTTCATCTGAATTCCACGCCATCGATCTACTCAACTCATTTGGTTGTCATTGATGATAAACCTTTTTTGTATTACAGTGAAGTCTATCACTAGCCAGCGAACGAGTAGGTCTATTTCGTAATCATAACTTGCCTATTTTTGTCATCTTCTGATTGAAAGGGAATGGAAATATTGAAATCTTGTATTACAAAATTATTTGTCAACTATCTAGTAGATTTTTTTCTATTTAGCCTGTCCTGTACGAAGCTCATTGATAACTTTTAATCATATAACAAATTCAATCGATACACCCTGATTTTCAGTATCAAACAAGTGTTTTATTCAACTGAATGTAATCATTATCTCGGCATAGTTCAATCGAAATAGAATAATATAGTTGACATAATTCATCAAATTCTTGAAAGATATTATAAGAATCTCTAGTGATCAATATAAAAGCAAAGGTCGTTTCTCTTGTCATATGAAATTGACAAGTATATTTCTGATTGGAATTTTTCTTTTGAGATTTCGATAATTAAATTGAAAAGAAAATGCTGCAGATGAATCATATCTCTGTCAAGAATTCTTTTCATTGATTTCAAATGTTTTTAATTAATAAATAATGATAAGTGAATAAGCAACTAATTACAAGATCTTCAAAAGATTTATTTTCATCAAAGAAATTTTCTAAGACAACTTCCATTTACTGAACCAGTATCAGAGTATCATATCGAGAATTACTTTTTTTCCATCGTGTTTAATAAAAACATATGATGTCTTTCTTTGTCAACAATTATTGTTCGACAGTTTCTCAAGATCATTTCGATGATGTGAGTTAGATCAAATTTATTTGCTTATCTTTATCTATTTGACTTTTTCACCTAGATGAAATGGAAAAGAATGTCGAAATCAATTAAATATTATCTCCAATGATTTTCTCAAACATTTTTCATATTCTCATTTGTTATGCATACTAAATATGTCATTAAATCGAACGATTTTACAGTTCGTGAAACACTCGCCCATGATCAATTCATCTGAACTCAGTGAAACACTCAAATGTAACTAATTAGTAAGTTACAATTAACTTTTTTCAAGTCAACGTTCTCAAAAACAGAAAATAAATGATTAGATGATTTCGTCGATATTTTGATGATAGTTAGTTAACTATCTGAAGTTTGTTCGTTGTAAAAAAGAATTCCTGAAGATTCGATTCAATTTTCAAAGATCACCTCCTCCAAAACTGCCAAATGCTTTTGAAAATGAGGAAGTGGATGTTGGTGTATTATCTGCAACTACACCCACACCCCACACCGTGTGATGGTCTCAATCTAGCATATACCATAATAATATATGCGATAATAAGTTTGATATTAATACTACATAGCACATTGAAGGCCTTCTTTATATAGTTAACCTTTATAAATATGTGTACGGTTGGAATCGAATTTAATGCAGTAGATATTTATTCCAAATTTACCTGATAATAAGCCCTTAAGCAAGGTTCGTCACGATCGTTGTAATTAGTTTGAAATTCACTTACATATACACACCTGTTAGCGTCAGTAGATGACACTCACTGACGCTAAACGTTTATTCGTGTTATCTGTTGCTATGATCTCTATTTTGATTTGTTACGTAATATTTCGACTAT